AACAGGAAAGTGTCCAGCATATGAGTTGTTCTGTTCTAGCTAGAAGCACAGTTAAGCAGGTGCAGTAGGAAGTGCAAGATTAAGATTTGATTCAGCTATGCATAGCACAGATGAGGAGCAAGACAGCATCTATTCAGGTAGAAGCAGATGGTAGAAAAGAAATATGCGGCACCTGCAACTCATGTAATATACACATATTCAAGGTTAGCATCCAGAGGAGGTGGTCTCTGCGTGGAATAAATAAAAAATGTCACAGCAGTATAGGCTGTCATTGTAAGCGAGTGACAAGAAGATGGGAGTCAAAGGGATTTGAAAGGAAAACCTTCAATTTAGCAAGTCTGATTTATCCCATCATTGCACTTCACTATTTCAAGTCCACTACTCACTGCACATGCTTATAGCTTGGTTGGTACAATCACAGCATACCAGAGCTGCTAACGTATTTGCAAGGTTGCAATCTAGTGCAAGGTGCTTACAGTAGGTCAGCTCAAGAGGTAGGGGAACTCAGGTAGGTAAAGGTTTCACTTTTCAAATGAACAGAGGTTTTAGTTGGAATTGACCCTTACAGGAAAAATGAGCCCACAAGAAGACTTAAGAAAGTACCTGGCATTGCTAGGCTTCCTGGGAAACCAGGGGGCTGAAAGGCATTTGGGACAATCATTTTTGCCCATCTCTCTCCACATGAGAAGACAGAAGTTCTTTCAGAGCCCCTGACTATTCACCTTTAATAAGTCCTCCCGGATCTCTTGCTTCCTTACATTTCCTTGCTTCTGACCTTATGGTATAAACTTTTGGTTACCGGGGTTTCCTCTAATGACATCCCTATGCTCTTTCTGAAGAGAGACACTTTCCCCCTCTGCATTTCAATGGAATCCTTGCCATACCCTCCACTTGATGCCTCACAGTTTCCACTTGCAGAAGTCCCCACTGTTTTATGTGCCTTCCCCTGAGCTGCCTAGGATAGAAGATTAAGGTGCCCATTAACAAGGACCAAATTTCTGGGTCTAAGCATTAACCTAGTTGAATGCTGCGTGTTCAGGAACTGGACTGCAGTTCTCATTCTGGCTCTGCCTCAGACCCGCTGTGTGACTTTGGGCAGGTCATTTCTCCCATCTGGCCTTCTTGGTTTCCCCATCTGTAGAAAAGGGCAAGCTTCATTGTCCTTCCCTATATAAAACATCCTGAGATCTACAGAAGACAAACTGTATTGAGAGCCAGGCACTATTATTATTAGAGCTCTGGTGTGCTAAATAGACACTGGCAAGAGACACAAAATCAAAATAAATCCAAGGGCAGGGAAAGCAGACAGAGCAATAAAGCACAAAAACTGAAGAAAGGAAGGGGAAAAAATCTAGTGAAAGCCAGAGTACAGTACTGGAGCACTACTCCTGTATTCTAAGTATATATGGAAGGACAACATTATTTTGAAGCAGTTCTACAAATCCAGTTGTCCCTCTTCTCAGTCTTTGTGTTTTTAGAGGCTTGTAGTTTTGACGAGTCCAAACTGCTGCTCTTACCTAACTGCACACATGGGAAAGACTTTTAGTATGGTTTGGCTTACAAATATATTGACTGACTACAGCTGTACAGCTCAAGTAGGCAAGGAGATGCTCTATCATCTTTTGAGATCTTTTAGTCTAGTCTACCCTTGACTGGTTTAGAGTGGACTTGGTAGTGTAGGTTAATGGTTGGACTGGATGATCTTAAAGGTCTTTTCCAACCTAAACGATTCTATGATTCTATGAGATCAGCCAGGATTATCCTTTCTCCAGCTGGGAAAAGCAACCAGTAAGAAATGAAAAGCACAAGAAAGCTTGGATGCAGACCTGTAGGACAGTTAAAAGAACTTAACTAATATTTATATAACTGCATATGTAGTGCTTTAAAAGGGAAGATCAGCACAGAATTATAGCATCATCAAGAGATAACTGAGGCTCTGGAATTAACATAGTTATATGCCTGTTACTCTGCAATGCTACTGGGCAAGCAGCAATTGCGATCCATCTGTCAGTGTGTCCTTTGCTGTCACAGGATCCTTGCTGCAGAGACTACCCCGTTCTGCTCTGTTCCATTATGGATGAGGGTGGAGTGTCCCTGTAATTTTTCTGCACAGGGAGTTATAGTGGCCCTCTAACCAGTTTTCATTATATCTTCTAGGCAAAGAGCAGCTTGTATCTTGGGATTAATATAAAAGACGACAAAAATTCAAATTCTGTCTTTGCAATTCCTAAGAAACCAGTCACCTTTGCTTTCCAGAGGGCAGCAGAAGCTGAGAGTGTATGAATTGGCTTTTGAACGTTTGGAGTGAGAGCGCTATGAGATTGGCTGGGCCTGCAAAGAATGCGTTATGGTATGAATGCAGGGTCATACATTGCCTTTGGTGGATTTCTTTTCCCCTTGCTGTTTGAGTTTCCAGTACCATCTCTTCCTAAAACTGTGTGCAGCCTTGTTACTCAGTTAAAAGGATTTTCTTTATTATTTTTTAAAGCCTGTTTGATGAGTGATATGAACTGCCAGTGAATACTACATTTCACTCCCCCTCATTAACATTGTAAATTAATTTAGGACTCATTTAGATGCAGAATTAACAACCTGAGGACTAATCCACTCTTTATTCAGAGGACATATTCAGGATGAGCAGTCTTTCGTCTCACATCACTCAATTAGTTAGCAGGACCATCTCTTGGGAATAAGATGGTATTTCTGTCTCTCTACTTGCAAAGGAACTGTTCAAGGTTAAGGCAGAGGTCTGGGAGACATCAGTCCTGGTCCCAGCTCTACTATAGACTTCCTCTGCAACCTTGGTCAAATGCTTTTATACTCGGCATCCATTTTCTCCAATTTACACACCTAGAGAGGTCAGACTTAGAGAATGGACAAAAGATTAAAAGTAGTGTTTATGATGGTTTAGGCCAGGGTGATTTATTTCACCAGGGTTAAGGGTACATGCGCTATGGGCCAGCTGCCAACACAGAAACTTGTTAAGCTGAAGTAATACATTTAATAAGTTTTCAGTTATGTGCCCCTACCCTTACTCACGTGAAATGGTGTTTTATTTTGTGAGCACTCTTTTCCTGTGATGGCACTGTGATTAATACATTATTATGTATATTGCAGGGGCAAAGTCAAGCCCTCAGTTTTCAGATCAGCAAAAAAACCAAGAGAAAATGTTGCTTTTCTTAAAGCAACCGTTATCAGTTACAGAATTCTTGACACACTCAGCAGCAATCTTGCAATATCTCAGTGACACAGTTTTCAGATGCCCTGTATGTTTGCTACAGAAATAAATAACATTTCTTGCAATTAACAAATGAAATTCCCTGTTGGAGCTTAGCTCTTACTTGCTGTCAGCAAATCATCTGCAGAAGAATTTCATTCATTGAGAGGAACGAAGATTAAATATATGCTTTGGCAAGTGTCGTTTTCCACCAGAATATGTTCTTGAAGGCACTTTGTGTCTAATGATACATTGCAGACCTGTTCCTCTGAGCACCATAAATAAATACAAATAATTGCTGTAGAAAAGAGCTTGACGGACAGCCAGTGCCATTTTGGGCATAACTGATTGATGCTACTTACAATCAGTAACACTTGTAAAGCTCAGGCCTTCTGTTCTGGACATGTGCTGCACATATCAGCTTAGCTGAACTCTGCTGTCCCACAAGGAGGGCATTTTTAAAGCCCTAATATAAACTGTTATTAATTGTTTGTGTTGCAACATTACCAAGAAGCTGTAACCACAGATGAGGACCCTGTGGTGCCATGGGTTGCAGAAAATAAAAAGGAGGAGATACTGCAGTGGTTCACATAGTTTGAAATCAAAGGCCAACTGATGGAGCTCCAGAACATTCTCACCTCTAGTGCGATTATAAAGAATGAATGATTTTATACACTTTAATTGTTGGCTACAGTTTCACAGAAATGCTCCTGATGGGCGTTTGGTATCCACTGTGATAGCACGAGGGAAAAAGCATGGAAAAAAATGTCTTTCTGGCATACTATTTCTAATCATAACTGAATTCTATTTTTTTCAGATAGAATTGTTCCAGTGTGGTTCCCTCAGACAGATGACAGTGACAAGACAACCACAGCACCACAAATCTATGACTCCAACTAATAATTCTGTAGGAAGTTTCCAAGCAGACTGTTTCTCTCCTTAAAATACTGCATTTTCTCTCTGGCTAGTCCTTTCAACTCTCCATAAAGATCAAATGTGCTGTCATAGCTACATGAGACTGCTTACTCATGTCATCAAATCGAGCCCATTGACAAAGGGACTCCTCTAAACCACCTCAGGACTAGAGGCCAGAAAAGGTGGGTTTGTCCTGGGGTTGTACAGCTCTGTCTGCAGATGTGTGCAACATTAAAATGTCTGCTACGTTAAAAGGACATCACAATTGCAATAATCCTTCTTCCTTAAATACAAGGAGAGACATATCTGAAGCTAACGGCGCCAAAATCAGAGGGATATTGTTAATCCATGAGCTACCACGAATGCAATGATTGTTAGCCTTTCCCGCAGTTCTCATCCTCAGGTACTTGTCCTGATGAGTTTTACATTTTCATGCCATGCTGTACACCAAATTACTGTACATTCAGCAGATTCTCTGTAGAGCACATGAAGGGCATCATACATCACACTTATTACCAACCTAGAGAGAGTTAAGAGAAGTGAGAACAACAGGATCCTGCTGTTGGTTTATCATGAGCTTTCTGATCTAGGAGAAGTAGCCATCTCCTACTTGAATTTAGCTGTCATAAATAATATCATTAGGTTTGTTTGCTTTTGGCCCTTTCTGCACTCAAGTCATTCTGAGCCCTAATCAGGATCCTGCCCACCAGCAAATCAAAACCAAAAAAACCCTCACGTTCACTTGTCTTCCTAGTAAGAGTGTATTTCACAGCCAATGTGCCCAAGGGCCATAACTGAAGAAATCTGAAAGCACCCTTCTGAGAAGAGGAAGGTTACAAAACCCAGAAAGAAAAAAAAGTACTCTTACCTGTCTGTAATAAGCCAGCCCCACTGTCTTTGACTCCAAAGTGCTGCTGGATGTCTAGTAGCACACCTGCAAGGAAAACAGAGAGAAGAAACTCAGTGCCTTCAGCCTTTGAAAAGCATATAACTCAAACCTTTTGTGAAGCATCAGCAAAGCTTCAAATTCCAGTAGTTTAGACACATAACTTCTACAGTTTGCACATTGGCTTCTTTTGTATACATGTACACTCAATAATTTTGGGCGACTACAATAAAAGCAGAGGTAGGTAGATATAACATCATGCAAAGGGTCTGGGAATGAAAGCCTCATGCACGAGAAAGTGGTCTGTACTTCCTACTTAAACAAGATCAGGGTTTTCTTTTTGTTTGTTTTCTGCAGAATCCAGATCCCTTACTTCTGTTATTTTACAGGAACACAGGGAAACTGATTCTGCACCTTAGGTGCTTCAAATGGTTCGACAAGACAGACAAATTGAATCCAAGACAAGTTTTAACAAATCTCTGTTGGGAGGAGATATGACACATTGATAGGAGTAATGATGGAAGTTTTCACATTTAACTAGTTCTGGGGGGTTCTCATTTCCAAAACAAATGTAGAAAATAAATTTAAAATAGCTTAGTAAAGGTGGGTAAGTGACCAAATGCTTCGCTTTAAAGCAACTACAAGCAGAACCAAAACCAACCTTTTCTCTTCCCTGAACCCCTAATATATTAATTGGTATAAGCAAAATTAACAGGTTTTGTAGTATTTACATATTGAGCTAGATTTAGCACTTGGGTATCGAACACATAAATATATGTAATGTCAAGTACATATGAACAGGCACGCTTTTGTAACCAGCTAGTGAACAGGGAAAACCCACAAGAGAGCTTTTATAACTCATCTTGGAGGACACACATTTGCCAAGCTGTAGATCGTGCAGTTGTGTCAGACACCATAGGCCTGAACGTTTGTTTGTGGTCTAAACAAACTGCACTCTGATTTCTTGGGTCTGGTAAAGAGACAGTTGCTCTCTTAATATCTGGAACTTCCTTATTTAGTATACTGTCTTCCCCAAAACTGAGAATATGCAAGTTCCTTTTTTTTAAAAACAAGAAACACCATTCTCCAACTATACTGAACATCTATAAGAGTTCGCCTCCAGTTCAAAATTTGAGCCGAGGCTTCATCCAAGCTGATTCTGCTCATCACTGCAGGTCACGGGAATCACTAAGCACCAACCTGAACTCACTCACACTAAATATCTCAGCTTTTGGGACTGCCAGGATCACCCTAAGTGACAAACACAAAGAGATAAAAGACCCAGAGATAACTATTCCCAGAAGACATCTGGGACAATGCCAAGAAGAGGGACATAAATTAAAGGTACTAAAGGAAAAAAAGATGCAGAGAAGGAAGGAAAAAGCAAGAAAGCTCACTTGTCCTATTCCATATTACTTGTACATCACCATTTACTCAGGGCAGCATTCAGGTTGGCTTTTAAACTACCAATATCTGCCCAGTAACATTAGTTCAACCTCCTACCTCCTACAACAATCCTCCCTTCCTTACTCTATCAGACTGTTTAGCCCTGAGCAGGGAAGGCTTGGGGTGGGGAAGGGTGTGAATCTTATCAGTGTGTATGGGTGGGGAAGGGTGTGAATCTTATCAGTGTGTATCAATACCTGATAGGAGAGGGGGTAACAAAGACAGAGCCAGGCTCTTCACACTGGTGCCCAGTGAAAAGAGGCAAAAGGCACAAACTGAAACATGGGAAATTCCATTTAAACATAAGAAAAAAACTTTTTACTGTGAGGATGGTCAAATACTGGAACAGGTTGTCCAGAGGCGTTGTGGATTCCCCATCCCTGGAGATATTCAAAACCCAATAGGACACAGTCCTGAGCAACCTGCTCTAGCTGACCCTGCTTTAGCATGGGTTTTGGACTAGATGATCTCCAGAGGTCACTTCCAACCTTCATTATTCTGTGATTCTGTAACTTTCTGAAGTATTAAGTGCCTATTATATCCAGCCTGACACAGTTTTCCCCGGCCTTTCTTTTTCTTTGGAGCATTGCTGTCTATTATAATTCCAAAAGGAACTTCTTAGCTTCCTCTTGGATGGCAGATTTACCACCATTTTCAAAATGCCCTGTCATTTCTTTGCTGTCCTTCCCTTATTTGCTCCATTAATAACTGAGATATCATTATCCAGGCAATACCTGATGAACAAAAATAAATTTTGCATTTGCCTAGCAAAACCCTCTGTGGTTTAGATGACTTACATACTCCCATTGGTGTCCCACCCTTTCAGAAAAAAGCAGTTCTCTTGCAACCCAACCTAGAAACCTTACTTAGTTTAACCATCTCTGAACACCTTCAATTTGTGCTCCATTATTCGCTGGTCCCAGACTGCCCATATCAGGTCAAGCTCAGCAAGTCAGAACAACTTGTGCGTACTATAATCCCAATTTTATAGAAGATAATCCAATCAACATTCTCAAGAACATGGAAGAAGGGAGGAAATACTGAATACAATGTTTTCTGATGTTCTCTTATCATCACTCAGTTGTGCTACACAGAAATGAAATATCCTACTAACTCCATGCAGATAAGCCCTAGACGCTCCAGCTGGAGAAGCCAAGTCAGAGGGATCCAAGCTCTCCTTGCTTTTACAGACAAATCCGATACAAGACTTAATCTGAGCACATACATCACTGGGTGGTGAAAGTGATGCCCATTCACCTCCTGATCCATGGACAAATGGCTTCTTGGTGGATGCCATGTTCCTGTTCAGCCCATCAACTTGCAGCTTCTTTTATTTCAGTAACAAAGGGCTAAGTTTTGCACCCACCCTTCTTTCAGGATGGGGCTTCAACTCCCACTGACATGATGACAGTTTTTCATTTTAATAATGAAAACTACAAGTAGGCTACAAGTATGTTACCTAAAGTCTGCAAAGAAAACCAAAGTAATAAGGGGCACTCTAGTTCAGATGGTAACAGATGAAAAAAAATTTACCCTGAAGCTAGTGCAGACAGTGTACCCTGATGTTGGTTTCATGGTAGAAACTGTGCTGAAGTGATCACCAAGCAGCATTCATACCTTCTAAACTAGCAGGGGCACAAGGGTCAAGAGCAAGCCAGTAACAGAATCTCACCTGTGCAAGAAGCAAAATGGCACAACCTACTGTCCTGCCACAGGATACCAAAGGGACGGATCCAGTGATGGGAAAAAGGAGATTAAGAGCTGTAGCCCTGCCTTATTGAAACTGTCTGAGGAGGCAGATCCTTTGAGCTGGGGGGTTGGACTAGATTGTCTCCACAGGCCCCCTCCAGTCTCAACTACTCTGGGATTCTGTGCTCCTAATCCCATGATGGAATACACAGGCATGTCCAGAGCTCCCTCCACCACCCTGAAAGGGGCCTGCTCTGCCTACAGCAACACATCCCCAGCCATGCCAGAATGCCAGAGAGGCACATTAAACCACCAAAAATTACAAGGAACAGGAGCCTGGGATGTGATGGAAAACATAGCCTCAGAAAGAAGAATTTTTTTGCGATTTGCATCAGAAACAAGAACAAGGGATTATAATGGTGCCTACACAGTAAAGCAGAGGAGGTACTCCAGTTCATTACAAAGAAATTATCTGTCCAGTGACAATGGCTTTACAGTTCTACAGTGCTTTTTTCCACAAGAGATCATAATGTGTTTTACAAGCTTAACTACTGCAGCCACAAATGAAATACATTTAGGACACTGAAGTGCAGCCACCTTGGATTAAGCCTACAACTTTATTCTGGTGGTGGAGAGAGAAGTGGGTTCTGTGGACAGTCAATGCAACTGTTGTGGACAGCAACAGGACAATATAGGACTACAATTATAAGTCCTGCATGAGCTTGGAAGAAGGTCTCAGATATTAAGGGAGATCTGCATGTCTAATTGGCATGAATTTCCTATTCCAAGTGTATTTTCTCTTTGGACTACAGGTGTTTTGATATGGGATTTAGAGCACTAAATTAGAGACAGCAGCAAGCAGATGATGCAACACATCTATGAAGTGATATGATTTTCTCTCTGCTGTGGGAGTTTTCCTGCTCTGCATGCTCACATGGGAAGACACTCCTCCTCTCTTATATTTGCTCAGCTCTGTTTTCACCTCACCATGGCAATGACTCACCCCAAACTTTAATTTAGGGATACAATTAAGCAATGATAGACCAGGGAAGAATACAGGAAAATGATAGAGCTTTTGACTTTCCCTTCTGCTTCTAGATGATGGGAAGGCAGAGATAGCTGGAGCCAGACTCCAGACAATGATCATGTTGCTTGTAGAGATGTGCTCCCAGGTGCCTCACAACACCTGATGCAATCCAAGAAAGAGAAGCCGCCACATGTGGCTGACAAGGCCTTTCTTGGATTAAAGTTCATACCTATGTTGCAGGAGGATCTCAAAGTAGCCGTGAGCAGCTAACAGGCACCACTCTTCCCGAGACAGCCTCTCAGCAGGGCTGATGGCCATTTGGGATGTCTTTATGATTACATGGCACACGTTAGTGTTATCACCTATTATTTCTTAAGCACATTCGGCATTTTCAGGACTGAACAAACATACAGGAGACATGGTGCCATCCTTCCAAAGTATCTTACCAGCTGAACCAGACACTGTTAATGCTGATGTAGAGCTTGGAACTCAATGAGATGAAACACGGGCAGCACCTAGCCAGGAGTGCTGATCAAGATGGGCACAGAGACAGGGCTGAATTAACTAGTCACTCTGCCTGGGTTTCCCAGTAAGTCCTGTCTAGGTTACCTTACTAGGCCTGCCGCGCTAGTGCCTAAGTACCTGACAAAGACACCAAGGCAGATTTTTGCGGGCACTGGGCATGAAGAGGACTTTTAAGAGCAATTTGGAGGATAAAAGGTCTTTGGGTGTGGAGTGTTAGATAGGGAGGCAATGTAAATGGGGAAGAGGAACGTGGCTGACCTCATCCACTCACAATGTCAGAAGGTTTCTAGGATCTAGTGCAGGATCCAGAGTACTGTTGCCATTTTTAATGGCCACTTCACAAACAGTGAATACAAAAGACCTGATTCTGAGGCTTTTGGAATGCAGGTCCACATGTAATGGCTTAAGTTATCTCTGATTTAGGGGAAATGCTTTGGGAAAGGCAAAATTTCCTGGAAGTGTGCGGTTCAGGTTTCAAACAGGGAGGTAGGTGGTACAGATCACTCATGAGGCAAGCTGTTTGCCTAGATAGGCTTTGTGTTCCTGACCAGAGCTACAACAAAACAAAAGTTGCAGGACTGGAAGGTTATCTGATATGGGGTAAAAAGATGCTCTGAACAGAAGGTCATCTTAGTACAGCTGTTTCTTGTGTTAACCATCATTTACAGAACTACTCCATAGCCAATCTAGTGAGCAGAGTGCCTTGGTTATCCTTTATATTTAAACGAAACATGAGCTCTTCACCTCACTACTGCTACCTGTATATATGAATAAAGAGTCACCATGATAAGAAACAGTGTTCATAAGCTGAGCTACAATGAAATCACAATTTCAAAGCAAAAAGACATTAGAGCTTCCCCGGGAGAGCCCCATTTTCCACTCACCAAAACAAAACATCATGATTTGATTTCAAACTGCTTCCAAGGCAGGTGCAAAATATAGAGTTAGCCTGTGCACCCAGCAGAAATCTACAGAAACAAAGCCACAGGTTTTCAGCTCACCGAGCCTTGCATCAGTAACGCCAATACACATTCTTTAAACACTGTGTGTGTGCTGCAATGCCATTGACCAACACAACTACTTACTTGAAAAGCACATGCATTTTGAAACATATCTTTTAATGGGGAAAAATTATGGTGCTTGAAAGGAACCAGCACACAACGTTCCAGACAATGCAGGCTGGGCACTGACAGCAATCATGTGTGACCGCAGCACCCTCTCTCCTGTCCCACTGCAGCCCTGGACTTGCACCGATCTTTGGGGAAGCCTCAAAGGAGGTGGAGGAGAACCCACACTCGCTTGGCTCCCAAAGAGCCAGAGCAGACTCTGTACTGACAACTCTTTTCCCCCCATTATCTGTTGCCGCCTACCTCTCCTCCTATCAAGGCTTCGTCCTTCCCAGGCTATGCTCCCTGGTTCTTCCAGGGCCAGCTCCCTCAGGTGTAGGTAACTAAGCAGGGATAGCCAAGCCCTGGCCTCCTAGCCATTAAAGGCACAAGCCACCTTCCTATCATGAGGCTCTTCCTCATGCCTGCAGCCATATTCAGCCTGCTTCAGCTAATGTATTAAGGAGACATAAGAGTGGTGTACACACCTGTCTGTTCAGACACATGTGAAAAGATTAGGTGGAGAGAAGTTTATTCTGAGGTCTCTGTGATTATATCTTGACTGCAACCCCAAGGTGTGACTGCAGTTCACACACAGATCCCTAAGCTTCAAACGAGCTGGCTTCAGCTCAGCCACCCACTAGCTATTAAACACTGGCTTCACAATTTGGACCCTATTTAAATACTCAGCTGCAGAAAACCACCGTGGTAGCCCTGCTGATATTTGTACCTCAAGATAAATTCCCACTGCTACCAGAACTAGCAAATCCAGAACTAAAATGCAGTAGCACCTTCTTTGGATTGCCATGAAAGCATTCCCTGTCTTACATGCAAAAAGAAGCAGGCCTGGTCTTTAAGTATTGCTAAATGAGTGGCGACGTCTTGTGTGAAAACACTGACAGTACCTTCCTTAGGACATACACACAGACTTTCCTTCTGCAAAACTAATTCCACTGTTGCATGACATAACAATATGCATTGGTGAAATAGTCTTTGGTTTTGAAATAGTGTTGCAGGATTACAAAGAAACAAACAGAACAAAACCAGCAACTAGACAAATCAAAACAAGGGTTTCCTAAGATCTGCTCACACTGGCATGCAAGAAACTTGTGACCTAGAAAGCACTAAAAAGAAACTGCCAACACCCACAGTGGCATGTTCAGAAAGGGGTTTCCCCAAGTAATACAGTGCAGCACTGTGAAGAGAGAAATCGAGCACGGCAGTTCAAGCCAAAGATCGGAGTGAGCCAGGGTCTCAGCGCTCAGCACTGCAGTCATTCACAGGCCATGAAACAGCTGCTTAAAAATCTGCTAATAAAACCCCAGGGTAAGCAAGTGTGAGAGTTCAAAGCCTCCACAGGCACTGACAGCCTCCCACTACCTGCACATACAGAAAGGTGCCGGGGTGAAGGCTCATCTCAGAAGACTCTTGTTTGAAATGGAGAGCAAACCCATAAGGGCATACACCTGTAGCTCTGACACACAAGAGGACTTGCTGTTTACCCTGAGCAGCATTTTCAGTGGGCTTTCATTAGGAGAGGTGCCATACACTCTGCCAAGCACACTACTGCTTGGGAAACAAAATAAAAATTTCTGTCTGCTTTGTAGTGACATTCCTATTCTGAATCAAACCCCAATATTACCCTCAGAGACTTGCACCCACCACCTGTCACACCCACTTTTTCCATTCAACGTTTTTATCATTATTCTAATATCAGTGGGGAAGTATCTGAGCTATTCATTCATTCCCAAAGGCTACTGGCTTACCTGCATAGCATGTAACAAGTAATTAAACATTAGGAAAAAAAAAAATAAGGAATGCAATTAACCAAGGGCTTGGAGAAGAAAATATATTTAAAAACTACTTCCCTCTCTCTGGCAGAGGCTAGGTAGTAATAAATGATGGTTCCTCTAACATAGCTGGAACTCCACTGTAATGTATGCAAAGCACAAAATTGTCTGCAAGGGTGGGAGGGGATAACAAATGTTCATCAGGTGCAGAATCGATTAGCACAAGGCATCAATAACACAGGGTCAAGGCGTCTAGCGTCTAGGGAAGGCAGCGCAGGACAGCTAGTCCTGCTCACATTAAAAAAAAAAAAAATCAAAACAAAACAAATAGGAATTTGAATGCTACCATGGCTGCCAAATGCTGGGTGCCTCACTGGCAAAACCACACCCTAATCAAATCCCTCATCTCCCTAATTACAGTGTAGGCCTGTTCCCAGGACTATGGCTGGGAAGGAAGCCCTCGTCAAATGGGGAACATAGGATACTCGGCCAACACAAGCCCAAGAGCTTAAATAAATTCCAAAACATGGAAGATTTTCCATTTATGATCCAATGAAACAACAGCTCTCACCAGTAAAACTGCAAAATAACATGGGTCAAATCTGAGACTAAGCTCACAGTGCCACTTTGCTCTCCTTTCCACCCCTGCCATGCAGCACCCTATAAAGAGATCCTGAATTTCACCCCTGCCTCATCTCACTTTGAGACTCCTGCCTTAGCCTATCCTAATCAGCCTTGCAATTCTCACAGGCCAAGGGAAGACTTCAATTAGAGATAAATGATGTGATATGGGCAAAAGGACAGGCTAAAATGAATTGGCACCTCGACCTGAACTTAAAACCAAACTTACTCATTGAGACTTGGAAAGATTCCTTTATGTGGAATGGTAAAAATCAAAAACTGTTACAACTTTAAACAACCAACTGAAAAATAAGTAGTAGCTAAGGTTTATGGTAGTTATCTGAAATGACAGGAATCAGTAACAGCTTTCAGGTGAAGCTGGCCAGACCTTTCTCTGATAGCCAGCATCTCTATCTCAGGACTCAATTCAGCCCCTCTTTCTAGTTCTTTAACTCACACAAACCAAGCCAGGCATGCTTTGCACTGCAACACCTCTGCTCTAACACAGAACAAAACACAATCTTTACTGAGGGGAAAAGGCTACTCTCTGACATTTTAGATCCAATAAGCAGCCTTAACAGATTTTCAGACCAAAGAGCAGAGCCTCAAAAAATAAGAACATTATTATTTCACTTATTCAAATCTTAGAAAATTCAGAGACTCCCCCCATTCATACTCTCCTTATGCATGCTATGGCAGAAAAAAGTGGGCCTGCCACCAAAAGCTCCAGTTGTCTTCTGGCTTCCTAATCTTTACAGAAGACTAACAAGTCTAGCTAATTCATGCAATGAAACATATCTCAGAGACTTTGTATATGAGCTAATTAAAATAAATAACACCAGTATAGATAATGATAGAGCAAATCAAGTGCATATGAATTCAGCCAGTGACTCACCACTCCCTTGTTTTCCTTATTGGAAAACTTGGCGTATCATCGTACCGGAGTGACAATGAGTCAGGAAACTGGCATGAACCACAAATTGCAAGGAAATTAAAGTAAGTATCTACAAAATCTCTTTTTGGAGAGATTTTGGTGATTTTTGCTGGCTTTGTACAGATGTGGCTATGGACTTCACAGTTCTATTCTCCTGGTTTTCTGGCTAGACAAAATCAACACAGGAGAGAGTCATTTTCGTGTTCTTCTAGAGACAATACATAATGATTGGGCTCTTGTTCTCAGAATCTATTTGATGCCTTTACTTTTACTTGTCTTCCTGCTTATATTTTAACTAAATACATTAGAAGCATACTACCATACACTACTGAATGCTTGATA